GTTTCAGTTTTCTCAAGAGGAAGATCACTCTACTCAGTCTTACGCAAACAGAATTTATATGAGGGCCCCACTGTAACTTGGAGTCCAGGACGAAGCCAAGAAGTTTGACAGGAGGGTCAGGAGATGGAGATGATCTGCTTAGGGTGAGCAGAAGCCTTTGTGTTTTATCTTCGTTGAGCTTCAAGTTATTTATGAGGAACCAGTCTTTAGCCTCTTGGAATAGAAGTTCTGAACAAGCGACCGCCTCAGTAGGATCTTGCCCCCTGCCCAGCAGGGTTGTATCGTCCGCAAAGAGTAGAGTATCTCTATCCCAACCTAGGTCGTTCATCAGTATCAGGAAGAGAGTGGGGCCAACTATTGAGCCCTGCGGAACTCCGAACTTCACATCGGCTGGGGAGGACAGTGCGCCCTGCACTGCTACCATCTGACTTCTACCTTCTAAGTAGGATTTAAAGGTCTGGAGGGCAACTCCGCCAACTCCATAATAGCCGAGCTTCTCAAGCAATATGTCGTGGGAGACAATGTCGAAGGCTTTTGACAGGTCGCAAAGGACCAGAGCCATTGACTGTCTATTTTCAAAGGAGTCCAAAACCTCACTAATCAAGGAGACGAGGGCTGTTGTTGTAGATCTCGACTTCCGAAACCCGTGTTGGGATGCTGTAAAGTAGTGATTTACTTCAAAATGGTCGACAATCTGTCTCTGTACAATCTTCTCCACAATCTTCCCTACAGTCGGGATTATTGAGATTGGCCGATAACTTGAGGTAAGGTTTGCGTCCCCCTTTTTGAAAACAGGTATAGTCCTTGAGATTTTAAGGCAGTCTGGAAAAAGTCCCACCCGCAGACACCTGTTTATCACTTCAGACAGAGGCAGTGATATTTCATTTATAACAGACTTGAGAATCCAAGGTGAGATTCCGTAGATATCTGGACTTCTTGAGTTGGAGAAAGATTTAACTATTTTAATTACTTCCTCTTGCGTAGTAGGATTCCATTCCTCCAAAGGGGTCAGGGGCTGCACCTGGACTCTGATTTCTCCGCTTCGGTTTCCAGCGGCTTTTCTGCTCAGTTCTTCAGTTATGTCTTTAACTGAGTTGACAAAGAACTGGTTGTAGTCATCTGGACTAGAAAGTTTGTTGACTACTTCATTTTTCTTCCTCGAGTCATTTATCACTGACCATGCTGCCTTACATTGGTTTAGTGAACTCTGGATGTGTACTACAGTTGCCCTTTTTTTGGCCTCATTTACCTGACATTTATAATTACGCTTCGTTTTCAGATACAGAGAGTAAAGTTTGTCCCTTGCATTAGGAGATTGCTCGGCCTTATATCTATCAAAGATCAGTTTTGTAAAAGCTCTGACCCTGCCCAGCTCAGGTGTATACCAGTCCTTGGCAATGCATGCGTTACCCCTACTTCTTTGCTTTGGCTGCGATTTAGGCTTGGCTTTATTTAAGAGCGGAAAAAAGAAATTGAACACTTCCAGCAGTTTACTGTGAAAAGCTTGAAAAGAGGACGCTGGGTCTGGGTCGTCCAGGACCAGAGCCCAGTCTATTTTACTTAAGGCTTCCTTAAACTGAGGCAGCAGTTGGTCACTCACATTTCTCTTATAAAATACATAATTGTCATGCCATGGTATAGAAGATAAATTACTCACCAAAGCTGTCTTCTTTACACTCATCAGCACTGGCAGATGGTCGGCAATCAGCGCAAAAGGTACCTCCACACTATAATCCCAGACATCGAGGTTTGAGGCAATCGAGTCTATACATCTATCTCCTCTGGTGGGCACACGATTTGTGATGAACAAACCCTGTCCACGAAGTACGGTTTCCAGGTCCTCGGATAGTGCTGAGGGCATGTTCAAGGCAATATTTAAGTCACCACCTAGCACAATGTCACCACTTTGTCTATTTATGGAGCTGAGGCATTTATCTAGGGTATCAAGAAAAATATCTATGTCGCCGCTTGGTGGCCTATAAATGGATACAATGACCAAATTGTGATCCAGCAATTCCACACCACATACTTCAATATGCATCTCAAAACAAAATTGAGTTAGGTCAAGTGGTTTAAAATTTATATCTTGTTTAATGTACATCATCACACCACCATGGATATGATTCTTTCTATAATAACCAGTAGCATAAGTCATGTTCTGAATTTCCCTGTAAAATTCTACTTCATTTAATACTAACCAGTGTTCACTTATACCTAGTACATCAAGTGATTTATCCTCAGCGAACAGAGATATTAGGTTTAGTTTATTTCGCAAGCACTGGACATTGACAAAAGCTAGATTGAGGTTAGGCCTAGGCCTAGATGGTTGTGGAGTAGATAGGGATGAGATGTGGTTTACTGGTAACAGTCTGGTTTGATCTGCGTGGGCCTGTGATTGGACCTCTGTCTTCTGAATAAAAAACGCTTTAGCGTGAGGTGTTGCGGCCAAAGCGAACTATCAAGCAGAGTTGCCTTCTGTTCAAAAAGTACCCCTAATTTAAAACTACAATTTAAGCCCTTACTTTCTAGTTTTTCTACCACACAGTCTACTTCAGGGAAAGATCTCTTAATAAAATCACTTACTTCTTTTTCTGATGTTCCTCCTTTCACTCTACCTAGATGTAGCCATGCTCTCCTTTCACCACTGGAGAGTCCTACGTTCTTGGTTTCACTTGTTCCAACTATAGGCTTGGAGTACGTCCGGTTTTCAACTTTTTTAGTAGGTTTCCTTCCCTCCTCCAGAGCTGACTTATACGATTTCTTGACTTCCTTAACTTCAGTTTGGCAATTTTGAGCTGCTTTAGGCCTAGGTTTTCCAGTCTCAGTAGTAGGCCTATCGGTTTCTGGTAAGTCGTGTCTTCTTTCAACGCCGTTTCTGGCGCCTCGTCCACGTCTATTGCGCTTTACTTCATTCCAATACTCCTCAGATTGCTCCAAACCCGCCACACCTTCGGTAGGATCTTTATTTGATAGGCAAACACCACGACCTGATTTTGTTTGTTGGTTCAATTCATGAACTTCTGAGTTTACAGCAGGACTAGTGGCTTCTAGGCGTATTTCTAAACCGAGAGAGGTTATGTCATTGACAGATGCAGTTTCGTTACTATGTTGTTGAATGTTTGTAGAGTCTGAGCATTGAGTCAGACTTATGTTTGGTTGATTAGGCCTACTCGATGTTGATCTGTCAATTTGATGATCCTCCACCGGTTCGATTTGCAGACAGCTAACCTGTTGTCCTAACCTAGCATTTTCGTCAATCAGTCTATCAACTTTCTCACTTAGTTTTTTATTATCACTAAGTATATTGTTAACTTTTCCCACCAGTAAGTTGATTGTTTTACTGATATTGGTTAGATCTGTAGCTTGGCAGTCCGAATCAAATATACAGTACACCTTTTCCAAACACGCAGCACAGAACCAATGTACAGATGACGATAGTTTATTTATTTGCGTATACTCCTTTGAACTAATATTCACACAGTTTATATGAAACCACTTTTTACAGAAAGCTTCACACTGTAGTCCTTTGTCAGTTTCTTGAACGACTATATTACATTTATTACAAAACTCAGAACCGGCACACGAGTTAACCGTATCCACCGCCATGTTCAATCCGGTGGTTGATACATAATCATTGATACATAATCATAGGTGAAAATAACTTTTTACCATCATACTTAGATGACTTTTTTGGATTCCTTACTTCATTAGCTTTACAAATATGTAGGCTACATATCATCAGCCTACATAATGTTTCACAACACAAAGAAACACTGTAGGCCTAGGCTATAGTTTACACTTATTTGCGGTTTTGCGGTTATTGTATTATTATGTCCCTATTACGTACCTACAAAAAAATATATCTAACATGTTACATTTTTATGTAGGTAGGCCTAATTGAATACACTACAAGATTATTATGTTGGTTTGAAGTAAAAAAATTTGGTACAAAAGTTGTATACTAAATAGGTAACTGTGAATTTTTTTTCTCGAGAAATCGCTACCTATAATATAAAAACATTATTTTATATAGGCCTACGTATGTTTATAGGTAAAAAATTATTTTTACCATAAACTTTATGACTTTTTTTGATTCCTTACTTTATTAGCTTTACAAACATGTAGGCCTATATATCATTATTAGTATACACATATACTAAGTTAAGTATAGAACTTTTTACAACATAAACTAACACTGTAAGGTTTTCAATTTTTTCGGTTCTCCGTTTGTCATTATATTTTTCGCCCCAAAAACTTATTAAAAAAAATATTTTCCTAACATGTTATATAGGCCTATTTCTATGTAGGGAATTAGATTGTCTACAAAATGTATATAATGAATTTCCCATAATAAATCCGTAGAAAAAAAAATACCGAGGCCGCTTTTGAAATTTCAAAAACAAAATTCAAATTTTTTTTATTTTTTTCACTTTACCGATAAAATAGGCCTACACTGTCTAAATCATTATGATATTACTATTTCTAGATTCTTCTGTTCTTTCCGAACAAAATGAATATGAGGTTGGCTAGGTTTACTTGTACGGTTGAATTTTCACGAATTTTCAAAAAAAGGTCTGCAAAATCGCCAAAATGGGTTGGCCATTCCCCACTTCTAACATTGGCCACTGCTAGGGTTAAGTTATATCCTGGAACAAAATAATGATCCTGTTTGTTACGGTTAAAGAGTAGGCGGGTACAGTTTCTTAACTGGGCTATGCTAATATCGATTGAAACTATCGAATTGGAAATATTGATTAATAATCGATATTTTTAAATATATCTTTTATAAAAACTATCATAACCTAACCTAACCAACCAAACTTGCTGATGGTGAAAAAATCGCAAGGTTTACTAATCGAATCAATAGTTTCAATCAATATTAGCATAGCCCAGTTAAGAAACTGTACCCGAGTAGGCCTAGCCTTAGCCTAAAAATAACTTAGGCTAGGCCTATGTGTCAAAATGTATAAACACGCAATGCAGCCGTTGATAATAATCACCTTTGAGTTAATCTTCCTTTATGAAATTTTACTTCAACGGCAATTAGGCTAAGTTAGGTCTAGCTTACTAGACTATCGTGAAAGCGAAGCTGTTTCCATCTCATCATAACAACCAAAACCAACCAGTTCACTGACACCCATTCTTAATCTCACTAAGTTAGGCCTATTATTAAGTTAGGCCGTGGTTAGGCCTAGTTTTTCGTTTCGAACCTCGGTCCGCACTCCGCCAACACCGAACACCACTGATTGAATAATGAAAATAATTATTACTGACTGACTAATCTAAAACAGACAGATTCAATAAACACTACAACACGTTGATTGAACTTAAAAATAAAACTTTACAGGACTCGGTCAGCAGTCGGGCTCAAGACAAGACAGGTCGACTCGACAGGTCCACCAACAACAACCACCGTCCAAGTCCACCATTATTATTTATAAATTTTACTTTTTCTTCTTCTTTTGTGGTTTGCTTTAATAAAGCTGGCTTGATTTGATGATCATGTAGCGGCATTATTTCATCAATACAATTTTCCTGGGCTTTTTCAAAATTCATGGTGCTAGGTGCTAGTTAGGAAATGATTTTTGTTTTTTATAATAATTACAATTTCCCGAGGTTCATAGCTTAAAGTTAGCGTGGTTAGATATTTTTAATTTGAATGTCTTGTTTAATTATCTAACGTTTATGTTTCATAATATCTCAAAGTTGGGTTCCTGTTTCTTTTAAAAATTTTAGTAATGGTGGCCATAGCTTGCATTTTTTCCATTTCAATTTTTCATTTGTTGACTTTTATTTGTTCGTTTTTTAGTGTTGCCACAAATGCCACGCACTTCGTCGGAAGGAATCCCTCCTCACGATCATAAGAATTCCGTCGTTCCCTCACAAATCCGGGAGGCCTTCTTTTAGGCAACCTTTCACCTAGGTACCATTTCACTTAAATCACATATCAAGTTGGTACCGACAACTCAAATCGGTCAGCTAGGTCCCGGCCCCTCCCTTCTGGGGGAAGGGCGTGGCTTCGCCGTGGTCACGTGTTTCGCGGTGCGGTCGCTTACCCTCTACACTTCTGAAAATTCCCTCGACTTCTTTGAATTACCTCTACTCCACCCAAATTTCAGCCTTCCTTCGTCTCGTTTCGGTACGATGTCATAGCTTATAATGTCATAGCTTATAATTGCGAATTTGTTGCATAGCTTATAATCTTGAAAATGTGGCATAGCTTATAATGGAAAATTTAAATTGTTCCATAGCTTATAATCGTAGAAATGTGGCATAGCTTATAACGGTTTTCTTAAAATGTGGCATAACTTATAATGGCATAGCTCAAATGTGCTGCAGCTTATAAAATCTCGTTTGTTCTATAGCTTATAATTTTAAAAACGTGGCATAGCTTATAACGCGCGGGAATTACGTCATAGCGGATGGGACAGCTGATCTATCCTGAGTAGACAACAAAATTATCGTGCAATGGTCCTCAAATTATCGTATGGACTAGCAGCCGCTACTCGGCAATAAGAAGTCGCGTTAAGTGCAGCCAACGTAGCAAAACCAAAAGTATTTCAAGTTTTTTTTACTCCTGGACGACATATGTTATAGATGTATATATTAAATGGTTTTTTGTTGAATAATAGAATAATTTTTTGTATCTGCTGTTTTACTTTAATTATGTAAGCTGAAATATATTATCATAAGTTTAATATTGCTCGTGTTGCTTATTTATGCTATGCATGATAACTATTGTATAGGTAATATTTATTTTTTAATATTGTGTAATACCGGTGTAAAAATACTTTTTCATAGATAAAACCGTAGACTATGCAACATAAGTAGACTTCTCGTCCCATTGTTGATTTTGAAGCTTGTTTTTCGTTTCTATTTCATGTACGTCGACACTGATCGCTAGTGTAAACGAAATCTTGTTTCTATTATATTAGGGTAATTTTATGATTTTTGTGCTTTACTGTTTGGTTATATAACTAGGAGACCAGATATTTTTATGATAAGATAGTTTTATTTGGTTAAATTAGGTTTTAAATAACTGAAATAACAATTAAGAAACATATTGTAAAAGAAATACAACCTCTACAGTTGGCATAGAATAGCAATAAAATTGGCTTCAGCTTTTCAACAAGAATAACAAATCTTCTAAGGGACTTGATGTTTGATCTACGATCAAAACATATTTAGTAGATTTGTCATACTTATGGAACAGCTTAAGCCCAAATTTTAGTTTTATTTCTGTACGGTGCAATGTAGATTATAGAGGTCATGTTTTGTTTACAATTTGTTTCACTGTTTACGCCTTCATTTAGCCAAATAAAACGATCTTGTCATGTAGCGGTCAGTGTCACAGGACAAGCACTACAAAATAGTGCAACCCCCATTCCTGTAAACATTAGAAGTTAATGCAACTTTTCTGTTAAAAAGTAACCCAAGCATGATTTTTTATTGCAAGAAAAATTAAAATATTCTTCCCAAAGATCGGAAACATACGTTTGACAATAGTTTTGTCCATTGATGTAATTTCTAATATCAAAAATGGTATATCCAAGTATTTATAAACAGTACTAAAATTCTAAAATCCATACTGAACTCTACGTCATTAGCAAAACTTGACACAAGAAGTAGTGATGGGAACTATCCGATAGAAACAAACGATTCATCCGGTTGTTGCGCGCCAACCGATTCATCCGATGGTTACTTTAATTTTCATCCGGATGAACCATCCATTCTATCACAGGTGAATCAGCCGAATCAACTATCTAGTCTGTCTGTAAACCACCCGTTCCACGTTTTCATTCAATTGTAAAACTATCCGTGTGGCATTTTCGTTAGTTTAAACTATGAATTAGTCATTTGACAACTGAAACTGTTCTTTATTTAATGGTGAAATTGTTTATTTGCCCGATGAGTTAATTTGTTTAACTTATTTTTCTACAAAGGGATATTAAATGGGTTATTTATTCATCCATTATCAGGTGAATCATCCAATCATATGCTCATGCTCAGAACAACAGTAACTTAAATGCATTTGGGCAGATATTATTAATTACGTAGTTTAAATTATGAAGACTTTTTAATTTGTACAAACAGCTTGTTACCTTTTTGGCGTAAAATTATTACGTGAGTAATAAATATCCAATATACCGAGTGGTCATAATTTAGACACATCAAAATATTAAAATTAAATAACCAAGCAACTTAGAAAAAAGGGAATTATCTTCTTAAATAGTGAATAACAAACCTTAAGGAAACATTAATTATTTATTTTAAATAATTTCAAACTAATGAAAAATAAATAAATATATAGAATAAAAATAAAACAGAAGAGGCAAGTAATTTTTTAACAATACATATTAGTTCTTTAATCACGCAACACATATTATTAATTACTATTTGTTGATGATCTATTTGTTCATGCACGGGTAAATCCTCCGAAACATGGCGCTGGATAGGACCGCCAAATGCCAACATAACCAAAACTATCTATCTGATCAGGCGCGCGAACTGATGGTTTATCCATTCGTTCTCTAGTTGGATAGTTTTATCTGTCTCCGAAAGCAGCACGGACGCTCCCCACCCCACTACACTCAAAACCATCGGATGAATCATCCATCTGAAGACTATCGGATGAAAGCAAAACCATCGGATGAAACATCGGATGGTTGAAATCAGTCGTTTGTCCCATCACTAACAAGAAGGCACTTAGTTACCAAAATAGTCATAATGTAATGTAATAAGGAATAAGTAATAATTTCATTTAAGATTTTATTTGTATTGATCAAGTGATTCAGTACTAAGTAAAAGTGTAAAGAAAAAAACAGATTTCTAACAACATATTTAATATAAAAATATTCAAATATATTTTTACTCGTAAATACTCTCAAATACCTCTCGACTGACTGGTTCTTTACAAATTGGTTGCCCCTGGGTTGGAAGAACTAAGTGAACAAAAATATTACAACAGAGCGTTGGCAGTGGAAGCTTGATGTTAAATAAAAATTTAGTGGGCCCTGTGGAATAAAATTACCCCCAGAAGTCCTTAGGGGACGTTCTTGGTAGTGTTTAGTTCTTCCAAGGCTGAAAACATCTTAAGACTACACTGACTCTACCTTGCACACTACCACACTAAACTTAGTGTTGCACCCAAGGTGTATCTTTTGTAGTGGATTCTTATTGGTTATAATTACGACTCTTTGAAAGAACTATATTTATGCTAGGATTGAAATACGAAAGGTTAATGATAATCAGTAAATAAATCACAATTCCATATATTTAAAAATAACTTCAGTGGAGAATATAATTATATTATAACGATGACACAAGGTGATGTGTTATGAAATGTATGGCCTTTTTACCCTAATATATTTGCCATTAATGTTATCACTACTATACAGGGTGTTTTTTTTTTTTTTTAACTTGCATCTTTATTAATGTAAAAACCGCAATAGATAGAAATATGCAGTTGGCGGGAATCATCTATTGACGTAGGGGGCCCAATTATTTTAAATTCAACGTTACATTCACATTCCCCCCCCTTTCCCCCCAACTTAATTTTTTTAAATAGCAAGGTACCCCTTGTGACATATCAAATAAAAGAGCATGAAAAAAGAAAATGTTTGACGAAAAAAATTGAAAATCGGTTAAAAATTTGTGAGATATTCCCCCCCTCCCCTCCCCCGGAACTTAATTTTTTTTAAAGCAAGGTACCCTTTGTGACATATCAAATGAAAAAGCATGAAAAAAGAAAATTTTTTGTGAAACAAAATTAAAATCGGCTCATGAATTTGTGAGATAATCCCCCCCCTTTTCCCCTACCCATAACTTGTTTTTAATAGCAAGGTCCCGCCCTTGTGACATATCAAATAAAAAATAAATTTCACCAAACATTTTCTTTTTTCATGCTCTTTCATTTGATATGTCACAAGGGGTACCTTGCTATTAAAAAAAATTAAGTTCCGGGGAAGAGGGGGGGAAAATATCTCGCAAATTTATGAACCGATTTTAAATTTTTTTTCATCAAACATTTTCTTTTTTTATGCTCTTTCATTTGATATGTCACAATGGGTACCTTGCTATTTAAAAAAATTAAG